CTTCCAAGTTTTCAACTTGTTTGTGCATAATTGTTTATAATGGTCTCTGATGAACCTTTGTATTTCTTTTGTATCAGTTTCTATTGTAATGTCGTTCTTTCATCTCCAATTTATTTATTGGTGTCTTCTTTTTTTCGTAGTCTAACCTAATGGTTTGCGATTTTTATTCTTTATAGAAAGCCAGTTTAATTTCATTTATTATGCTCTAATCCTTATTTTTTTCTTTTACTAATTTTGGGCCTGGTTTATTGCTTTTCTTGTTCTTGAGATCATCATTGGATAGTTATTTGAAAACTTTCTACTTTTTAAATATACGTGTTTTGCCATAAATTTCCTTCTCAGTACTGCTTTTACTGTATCTCAAAGTTTGGTATGTTGTGTTTCCATTTTTATTTGTTTCAAGAAACTTTAAAATTTCTGTCTTAATTTCTTCATTGACTTAGTAGTTGTTCACAAGAATATTGTTTTTAATTCACGTATTTATATAAATTATAAGTTTGTTTTTCTAGTTTTATTCCATTGTTTTCAGAAAAGACACTTGATAGGATTTTGAAGTTTTGAGTTTGTTAGATTTGTTTTGTGGCCTATTCTGGAGAATGGTTCTATGGAAATCTCCACTATCCTGGGGAATAAGGTGTACTCTGTAGTTGTTGGATAAACTGTTCTATAAATGTCTGTTAGATTCATTTGGTCTGAAGTAGCATTTAAATCCAATGTTTCTTTCTCGATTTCTGACTGGATAATCAGTCTATTCCTGAAAGTGGGTATTGAAGTTCCTACTATGATTGTATTGTAGTCTATTTCTCCTTTTAGATTTATTCATATTTGCTTATATACTTGGTGCTTCTGTGTTGGGTACATATATATATTTGTAATTGTCAATATACTCTTGCCGAATTGTCCATTTATAGTTACATAATGATCTGCTTTGTCTCCTTTTAGAGTTTTGACTTTAAGTCCTTTTTATTGATGTAAATGTGTCTGCTCCTGTCTTTCTTTGTTTCTACTTGCATGTAATACTCTATTTCCATAACTTCATTTTCAGTCTACTGTGTTTCTCTGTAGGTAAACCAAGTTTCTTGTAAGTACCACATAGTTGGGGCCGTGTTTTTTTTTTTAAATCATTCAACCACTTTATGTTTTAATTATAGAATAAAGTCCATTTACCTTGATTGTTGTTATTGACAGGTAAGGACTTACTTCTGCCTCTTGTTATTTGTTTCTGGTTGTTTTATAACTCTCACTTCTTCTTTTCTTACTGATTTCCTTTGTGTTAATGTGATTTTCTCAGATAATATGTTTTAATTCCTTTCTTTTCACTTTTATTTATGATTATAGATTTTTGCTTTGCATTAACATAGTTAAAGCAAGTTTATTTATTTTTTAAACAAATTTATGTTAAACCGATGACAACTTAAGTTTGATTGTAAAGAAAAGAAACAAAAATGTAAAAGTCTGTACACTCAAACCCCTCCCTGACTTTTGGCTTTTTGTTGTCTCAATTTATGTTTTTTATATCGTTCAGGTTCCACTTCAAATTCTGTTTTTCTTGCTATTTCACCACATCTGCAGTGACTTCTTCCACTGAAGTCTTGAAGCCCTCCAAGTCATCCATGAGAGTTAAAATTAACTTTTTCCAAACTCTTGTGCCTGTTGATATTTTGACCTCCCCCAGTGAATTACCTCTTCACCTCTCAGCCTTTTTAGCATTTAAGACAATGAGGGCCTTGCTCTATCTGGATTAGGTTTTGGCCAAAGGAAATGTGGTTGGTTTGGTCTTCTATCCAGACCACTAAAACTTCCTCCATATCAGTAATAGGGTCTTTTACTTTTCTTATCATTCATGTGTTCACTGGAGTAGCACTTTTAATTCCTTCAAGAACTTTTTCTTTGTAATCACAGCTTGGCTAACTTTTTGGTGAGAGGCCTAGCTTTCAGTCTTTTTCAGCTTTTGACATGCCTTTCTTGCTAAGCTTAATCATTTCTAGGTTTTGATTTAAAGTAACAAATGTGTGACTCTTCCTTTTACTTGAACACTCAAAGGCCATTGTAGGTTTATTATTAATATTTTGCCTAATTTCAGTATTGTTGTATCTCAGTGAATAGGGAGGCCTAAGGAGAAGGAGAGAGACGGGGGAATGACTAATCTTTTTATCAGAGTGCACACAACATTTGTTGACTAACTTTGCCATCACAGATCACCATAACAGATAATAATGAAAAGGTTTGAAATATTGGCAGAATTATAAGAATGTGTGAGAGAGATAAAGTGAGCACATGCTATTGAAAAAATGGCACTGATAGACTTGCTTGTTGCAGGGTTGTTACAAACCTTCAATTTGTAAAAATGCAGTATCTGCAAAGTACAGTACAGTGATACGCAGTAAAATGAGGTATGCTTGTATTTCATTTTAAGTACTTCAATGACTTTCTACCTATTCCTTAGTAATACTACTATTACTGTTTTAGTAGTTGCTCTAGGAATTATAGTGTGCCTCTTTAAGTTAATCATATTCCTAGAGCCAGTACTTTATCATCTCTCATAAAATCTGGAAAGCGTTGTATCAGGATCATTTTAATTAACTCCCAGTCCTTTGTTCTTTTGTCATCATATATTTTATATGGCATATATAGTTTATTCTACAATGCAACATTAACATTTGCATTAAACAGTCAGTTTTTAAAGAAACTAAGAACAGAAAAAATATCTTGTGCATTAATCCAAATACCATTTTCAGTCTCCTTCATCTTTGTTTATTGCAGAGTTTGAAGACCGTAGAATTCTGGGTTGACAGTTTTTTCCTTTGCTACTTTTAAAAATGTTTCTTTGTTTTCCTGCCTCCATTGTTTCTAATGAGAAGTCAGCTTCCACTGTCTCATTTTTCCCTTCCATGTAATGTGTCTTTTTTCATAATTCTGCACTTTTACAATCTTCACTTCTTTAACTTTTTGTTGATAATAGACAATATCTCATGTCTGCTACCTTTTTTCACAGCTTCCCTCTTGCTTCTTTAAATTTTATTGTCAGTTATACTTAATAGTCCCTCTACAATATCCTCTACTCCTTTATGTCTTTCATTTTGTGATTTGCTAGGTGATACCACAGCCCTGGTTAAATTCAACATACTGCTTACTCCATTCTTTTTCTTACGGAGCTGAAAGTGGCTGTACAAAAAAAAGTAAACCTACACTGATCTATTTGAAATTCATGAGCACTAATCTCAAGTGTGTCCTTACTCTTGCCTTGCAAACTTTATATTTTTTCTGTTCTATTTTCTACCCTGCTTTTCTGAACAGATCTTTTATACTTCCTCCACTTTCATCTAACACATTTTTGTCACATATTCACTCTTAGCTCATGACCTTACTTATTACCTTACTGGAAAAATCAAGGTAATAGAGAGTTTTCATCATGTCCTATCATCTCATATATTCAGTACTTACATCTATGCACATATAGTTTGTATTATCTCCTGTTATATGTGGATGAAATATCCATGCATCTAACTAAGGCAAATCCTTGTATATTATAACTCATCCCTTCTAGTCACTTTCATTTTATTGCTTTGGCAGTTTTATACTTTCTCTTCTGCATCATCAAATTTTTGCTTTCTATAAGATCATTCTTTTTAGCATACACCTGTGCTATTCTCTCTAATTTTAAAAGCAAAACAAGTCTTTCATTCTGCTATTCCCTTTAGGCAGCATGCTAATTCCCCCCTTCTTTTTATACCAAAACTTTGAGAGATTTGGCTCTCTACATTTTCTCTTCTCTCTTGTACCCCTTTGATAAAGTTTTCTAGGTCAAGGAGGACGGTCCCTATTGTTAAATTTCATGGCCAGTTCTTAGAGTCTCCATTTTTTTGGACCTATATGAAACATTTGGCACAGCTTATTTTCCTTGTTAAAAAACTTCTTTTCCTGGCTGGTTAGGATACCACATATTCTTGATTTTTGTTTTTCCCTTACCTTTTTGGCCTTTCTTTTCTCCTAAGTATACTGGATATCTGTTCTTGGGTTTCTCTTTTCAATCTATATTCATTCTCTGGATGATTCCCATCCACTTTCGTGGTTTTAAATGTCATCTATATGTCAGTAGCTTTGAAATGCATATTTCTATTTAGGCTTCCTTCCACAGTCTTATCCTTCATATTCAAAAGCATATCTAATGTCTCCGTTTGGATTTTTAATGGGATCTCCCACTTAACATGGCTCATGACACTCTGCCCTCCGCTGCAGAAACAAAAAACAAAAAAAACCCCTGCTCTTCTTGATATATTTTCCATCTTGTTTACTGGACTTCATTGTTCCAGTTATGCGGCCAACAGTGTTGGTGTAGTTCTTACTCTTGTCTTTATTTTGCACCTGTATCTGATTTGTCAGCAAAATTCTTTTGGCAGTGTCATTGCAAGAATACTTATTACCACAAAGTACTTTTCAAAACACTTCTTACCATATCTCCACTGCCATCATCCTGCTCCCAGGCACTCTGTCATATTTCACCTGTATTATTAACTGATCCTTCTTCTGTTTTTGACTCTGCCTTTATTCTGTTTTTATGTGGCAGCACAGTGATTCTATTATGTTTAGGTCAGAGAGTGTTAATCTTCTGTTTTAAACCTTCCAGTAACTTCTGACTTTTTTCAGAGTAAAAGCCAAAATCCTTACTATATTACAGACTTTGCTCTCCATTACTGCTGTCCTTATCCTCACCCCTTCTTTGGTTTAGTGCCAGCCATCATGGCTTCCTCGATATCATCAAACATTCTGAGTAGGCTCCTGTACTTTTAAGCATGCTGAATATCTTATTTTATTTTGTTTACAGTCTATGAGCCATTAGAATATAAGTGCCATGAGTCTAGAACTCTTATTTTTCTTTTGTTGTAAGCACTGGGTATATAGCAAATGGTGCCTGGCACATAGTAGGCGCTCAAGATTCACTTTTCCTCTTAATAAATGAGTTCCCATCCACTTGTTTTTCTTTTTAACTTTCTTTTCAGATCCGTGATTCTAATTGCAACTATGAGGCCTTTATGAACATTATTAAATTGAGTGATAATATTGGAGAGCTAGAAGCAGTCAGAGATAAGGCAGCAGAAGAATTACAGTATCTCAGATCTCTAGATACAGCTGGTGATGGTAAGCAATTTATTTATGTAAGATGTGTGTTCTTTGAAGGATTATTATATCATCAAAACTTTGCTTAATTTACCTTAATGTCATTTTCTGCTATTAGTTGTTTTCACCCTAGCTAAGTTTTCCTTATTATGTTAACTTGTCCTTAGAGTAAAAGCATTATTTTCTGAATGTAAGACTGTGATTATTGCAATTATCCGTAAAAGAAAATTGGCATGGTTTAATTTTAATTAAATAATTTCACTACATAATTTCAGATTGTTTCTTTTATTGAATAAAGTAATTGCCCTATTAATTGGTTATTTTGTTAAATTACAGTAAGTGCATGTTTAAAAGATTTCATAAATACCGCTTTAAAGCTCATAATCAATTTGTTTGTTTTTAGATATCAACACTATCAAAAATCAAATAAATAGCTTACTATTTGTAAAGAAAGTATGTGACTCAAGAATACAGCGGTTGCAGTCAGGCAAAGTAAGTAAAGTACTTTTGAATTAACATTTATAAATACTGTATAGTGATTAAAATACCTAGTAAATGACAAAAAGTAGGATATTTACCAGTGTGGCACTTTACAACAGGACTTTCAGAAAAGTTTTATTATACAATGTAGTATGATAAATATTTGTTAAACCAAGTCAAAGGGATTAATTAAAACACTGCCTGAAAAATGTTGACATAATTACAGATTTTATTTTATTCCTTGATTTATTCATTTACTCATGTATCATTTATTCAAATTTAACATTTCTTGAATTTTGTGAATTGGGCACCATTTTAGATGGACCAAATAGACAAACTCTTTTCATGGAGCTTACAGTTTACTTCAGAAAGTAGAAGTCAGAAAGTAAATCAGTGAGCAAATTGATATGTAGTATCAGGTAGTGATATCTGCTATTTAAAAAAAAATGAGCAGAGTTGGGTATACAGAATGTCTTGGACTATTTTAAGAGATATTAAAGAGATGAGGTCTTGATATGTTGCCCAGAGTGGTCTTGAATTCCTGAACTCAAGTGATCCTCCCCCCTCAGCCTTCTGAGTATCTGGGACTACAAGTATGTACCACTTACTTACTGCACCTGGCTTTTTTGGGAGAATGTTTTAAATAGATCCCAAGAGGTTTGGTGACTTTTGAGCATAGAGACTATCTGGATAACATGAGGGAGTTAGTCTTGTGATTTGTTTTTGTTTGACTTTCAAGAATCCTTGAGGCAGGAATGAGAGCAAATGCAAGGACCCTGAAATAGGAACATCTTTGGTGAGTTAGAGGAGGTCACTGTGGTATGGGATGAATGAGGGATTGTGCTAAGAATGAAGTTATGTAAGAACCTGGAGGTTAGATCATGTATGGTCTTAACTAGCCATAGTAAGATTTTTATTTTATTCTAACTGTGATGGAAATCAATTGGAGATTTCCCATGGCAAGTAATGTGACCTTACTTATGCGTTAAAATGATTACTTTGACCCTTTGTGAAGGGGGATGGTGGGGGCGAGAATGAAAACTGACAGATCATTTATAAGACTACTCTTTTAAACCAGGTAAGAGATGTCTGTGGAGGCTGTGAGAAGTGATTAGAGATTTGATATAGTGTTAACAAGATTTGCTTAATGGACTAAATACTGGGTGAGAGAGAAAAAAAACCTTCAAGGTTGATTCCAAGGTTTTTTTAGCCTGAACAACTGCATGAAGAGTGATGCTACTTACTAAAAATGTGTAGAACTGAGGGAAAAGAAAGCTTTGAAGAGAGAATCAAGTTTTGAATATCTTAATTTAAGATACTTGTTTGATTTGATATTCAAGTAGATTAGACTAACCTGGTAATCTTGAGTTCAAGGGAAAGTTTAATGATGGAGATAAACTTCATGACTCTTTAGAATTATATGTTTATTTAATGTTGAGAGACTGTATCAAGTTATCTAAAAGAGTTAGTGTAAGTAAAAAGATATCAGTGACTTGATTCTAATTCACTTCAGTGAATAAAGTTTAAGATAAAGTAGAGGATCCAGCCAAAGACTAAGCAGCTGGTGAGTTTGAAGGAAAACCTGGGCATGTGATATCCTAGAAGCCAAGTGTTAAAAGGGTTTAAAGAAGCAAAAGATCAGATGTGTCAAAGTATAAGAATAAAGTGAGAGGAAGACTGAGAATCGACCATTGGATTTACTACCATGGAGATAATTGGTGATCTGATGAAAGCAGTTTTTGGTAGAGTACTGTAGGAAAAGCATGATTGTAGTCTGTTCAGGAGAGAATGGGAAGAGATGAATTAGAAACAGCAATGATAGTTGCCCCTTAGAAGAGTTTTACTGTAAAGGAGAGCAGAGCATTTAGGCCTTCAAAGCAGAAGAAAAAAACATTTTTTTGTACCTTTATTTTAGTGTAGTTACCTTTTTTGCTCTGGTTTTCTGTTTTGAAAATCTGTGACTCTCTGGTCTTGTAATTTTGCAATGTATTTAAATTAAGGAATGGAAAAATTATCTTTTTAAAAACTTTTTAGTTTGCTAGATGAATTATGATTTACCAAAACATTACTTGAAGCCTGCATTTGTCATGTATGTGATATGCATGTATGCCTATGTTTTGGTTAACTGTATGTTGAAACTAGTTTATATATAGTTATATACCCATGCATATTAAAAATGATGAATGATATGTTGTACTTGTGCTTTTCTTTATTAATAGTTACCTTATCTAGATCTTAAAGTTAGTCCTCCTTTGGCATCATTATTTAAAGTCTGTTTGCCCAAATACTTTTTGATACTCAATCATTTTAAAATTTAGGTATTTTGTTTGGAAGCCTTTTGGTTCCATTTTGAATATTACGTTTATTTTTTTATTAGCTCAGTATTTTCGTCTTGAAAGTGAATTCAGCATCCCCATAGATTTGCAATTTTATAACCATGTTACTGATCTTGAAATCTTAGAAGACCCTTTTCCTTTAATATTACAAATAAAGGTATGGTGCATATTCTTCTACGTACCACATCTGTGGAGCTGCTGCTGGGCAGGAGAAAGAGGTGATACAATTTGAGGAAGGGAGACTTAAATCATGTGCTGGCACCAGGTGGTTCTGTGCCACATATTTAAAGTCAGTTATCTGTTATTATCCAGTTCTTATATGAAGAGAAATACTAATTACAGAGATAGATTTTTTTTTCCTTTTTAAAAATTCTCTTCCTTTTCCTTTATGTACCACCTATGCTTAATGTATTATCTGCCCCTGAATAAGGCAGCTGGTTTCATTTATAGTAAACCTACCTAATTTTCTTTTTTAAATAGAGGGTTGTGAAATATGGATTTGGGAATATAGAGAAGCTAGTAAAAATAAATAGTTCACAGAAACATCATAGGTTTTATTGAAAAGGACAACAGAATTTGAAAACACCGACTCATACTTACCAGCTTTGTGACTATAGACAACCTTTCTGATCTTCATTTTATTTATTGGTTGAATAGGATTGGTTGATACATATCCAGTCGGATTGCTGTACAGATTAAATGAATGTGTGTAATATAGGCACAGTGCCTGATACACAGATACTCTTTAAATTTTGGATCCAGTTTTTTCTTTTTTTTCATATGTAGGTTGTTACCTTGTTCTGTGACTTTGAAAAGTATATGTAATTCACTTTTTAGGTAGTCTGAAAAGAAATACATTTTCTCTAGCAATTATAGAGTTTTTACTGTGCTAGGAGCAGAATGGCTCTTTGGGAATATTTTCTGTTTTTTCAGTAAACAGACTTTAATCTTCACTTGAAAATGTTGGGGTTTGTTTATTCTTAGGCATACAAAACATTTTAAAAATCCCCTTTTCCCTTTGGCCCCTGAAATGTTCATTATCATTTGGAATATATAAAGATAGATAATACTTGAGATTCAGTGATTTGGATTTATTTTATATTGAAAGAAATGAATGCTTATTACTATATTTTTAATATATATTTGCTAAGCAACTGTTAAAATAATGTTTAAATTCACTGAGAATATTTTATTGGGAAGCAACATAGATGAGAGGGAAAAACTTTATTTTTTTTTTCATTTTAAATAATATATTGGGTTTTATGTCTTATATTTATATAAAGATCTTTTACCTAAATGAGTGATTTGATGAAATATTAACCTTTATTCACTTTTGTTTATAGGAAATAAATACTGTGAAACTGGCAGCAAACTTTGGGAAACTTTGCACAGTCCCCCTGGACAGCATTCTTGTAGACAATGTTGCACTACAGTTTTTTATGGGTAGGTAAATCCATTTTATTTAAATGATATGGCCATTGAAATTCTTTTCCCAATTTCTTATTGTAATAAAATACACCTAGCATAAAATTTAGCATCTCAACCATTTTTAAGTGCACAGTTCAGTAATATTACATACATTGATAATGTTAAGCAGCTATCACCACTACAGTCTCCAGAACTCTTTTTGTCTTGCAAAACTGAAACTCTATACCATCAAACACTAACTCTCCATTTACCCTACCTGTACCTCCTGACAGTCACCCTTCTACTTTCTGTCTCTGTGATTTTGACTATGCTTAAGTACATCATGTAAGTGGACTTGTACAGTATTTGTCTTTTTATAACTGACTGAGCATAATATCCTCAGGGTTGCTCCATGTTGTAGCATATGTCAGAATAGTCTTCTTTTTTAAGGCTGAATAATATTATTTATGTGTGTGTATACATTTGCTTATCTATTCATCCATCAATGGGCATGGTTACTTCTACTTTTTAGCTATTGTACATAATGTTGCTATGAACATGGGTGTCCAGATATCTCTTTGAGACCCTGTTTCTCTCAGTTCTTTTGGGTATAGACCCAGAAATGTAACTGCTAGATAATATGATAGTTCTATTACTAATTTTTTGAGCAACCAACATACTGTTTTCCACAGCGACTGTCCCATTTTATATTCCCACCAACAGTGAACAAGGGTTCTAATTTCTCCACATCCTCTCAGTACTTGTTGTTTTCTGTTTGTTTGATTGTTTGTTTATTTTAACTTTTTTTGGATTGGAGAGTAGTTAGTATTCCAATGAAAGTGAGATGGTAACTCATTTTGGTTGTGATTTGCATTTCCCTGACAAGTGATGTTGAGCACCATTGCTTATTGGCCATTTGTATAATCTTCTTTGGAGACATGTTTATTCAAGTCCTTTACCTATTTTTGAATTGGATTCTTGGGGTTTTTTTTGTTGAGTTTTAGGATTTCTGTTTATATTCTGGATATTAATCTCTTATGCATTACTAGCAAATATCCCAATCTGTGCATTGCCTTTTTACTCTGTTGATAGCATCTTTTGATGGACAAAATTTTTGAATTTTCATTAAGTCCACTTTGTCTATTTTATTACCGATGCTTTTAGTGTCATATTCAGTAAATCATTGCCAAATCCAGTTTCCTGAAGCTTTTTACTCTATGTTTTCTTCTGAAAGTTTTATAGTTTTAGGTCTTATATTTAGATCTTTGATCCATTTTGAGTTAATTTTTTGTATATGTTGTGAGGTAAGGGTTCATTCTTTTGCATGTGGATATCCAGTTTTCCTAGCACCATTTGTTGAAAAGACTATCTTATTATTTGACCATATATAGGAAGTTTTATTTCTGGGCAATTTTGCCCTATTTTATTGGTCTCAACGCCTTTTGTTTGGTTTATTATAGTTTTGTAGTAAGTTTTGGAATCAGAAAGTATGAGTCTTTCAACTTTTTTTTCTTTCTTGAGATTATTTTGATTATTTGAGGGCCTTGAGATTCCATATAAATTTTAGGATTGTCCAGTTTTTGCAAAAAACATCATTGAGATTTTAATAGAAATTGAATCTGTAGATCAGTTTGGGTAGTATGGACATCTTTACAATGTTAACTCTTCTGATCCATGAATATGGGATATGTTTCCATTTGATGTGTCATATTTAATTTGTTTTAGTGGTGTTTTGTAGTTTTCATTCTACAAATTCTTCACCTCCTTGGTTAATTATGAAATAATTTTTTCTTTTTAATGCTATCATAAATGAAATTGTTTTCTTTTTTTTAAAGTTTTTAAATTTATTTTTTGATTAATGCATAATTGTATATATTTATGGAGTACAGGGTAATATTTCAATACGTTTATGTAATGTAATGATCATTTATACAATGTGTAATTAGCATATCCATCACTTCAAACATTTATCTTTTTTTTGGTTTTTTTTATTATTTTTTTTTTTATTTCGGCATATTATGGGGGTACAGATATTAAGGTTTCAATAAATGCCTGTTTCCCCCCCTCCCCCCACAAGTCTGAGTCTCCAGCATGACCATCCCCCAGATGGTGCACATCTCACTCATTGTATATGTATATACCCGCCCCCCTCCCACCTGCCCAATACCCTATTACTGTAGTACCTATGTGACCACTTAGGTGCTGTTCAGTTAATACCAATTTGCTGGTGAGTATATGTGGTGCTTGTTTTTCCATTCTTGGGAAACTTAATAGTATGGGTTCCAGCTCAAACCAGGAAAATATAAGATGTGCTATGAAATTGTTTTCTTAGTTTCCTTTTCTGATCGTTCATTTTTGGTGTATAGAAATGCAACTGACTTTTGTGTGTTGACTTTTATCCTGATACTTTGCTGATTTCATTTGTTACTCTAACATTTTTTTAATGAAACTTTAGAGTCTTGTACTTATAAGATCATATCATCTATAAACAGAGGTCATTTTACTTTTTCTTTTGCAATCGAGATGTCTTTTTTATATTTCTTTCTTTCTTTCTTTTGGTACTTGCTCTGCCTAGAGCTTCCAGTACTATGTTGAATAGCAGGTATCCTTTTCTTCTTCCTGATCTTAGAGGAAAAGCATTAAGTCTTTCACTATCAAGTATGACATTTACGGTGTGTTTTTCATATACAGCTTTTATTGTGTTGAGGTAGTGTCTTTCTGTTCTTAGTTTGTTGAGTGTTTTTGTCATGACAGTGTGTTGTAGTTTGTTAAATGTATTTTGTGCATCAATTAAGATATGTGGTGTTTGTTCTTCATTCTGTTAATATAGTGTATTACACTGATTGATTTTTCTATATTGGCCCATCATTGCATTCCAAGAATAAATCTCATTTTGGTCATGGTTTATAATCCTTTAAATATGCTGTTGAATTTGGTTTGCCAGTATTTTGTTGAGGATTTTTGCATCAGCATTCATAAGGAATATTGGTCTGTAGTTTTCTTTCCTTGTAGTGTCTTTATCTGGCTTTGTTTTCAAAGTAATGATGACCTCATCCAATGAATGAGGAAGTGTTCCCTCTTCAATTTTTTGGAAAAGTCTGAAAAGGATAGGTGTTGCTTTTTCTTTAAATGTTTGGTAAAACTTCACCAGTGAAACTATCAGCTCCATGGCTTTTCTTATTGAGGCTTTTGATTACTGATTCAGTCTCCTTACTACTTACAAGTCTCCTCAGATGTTGTATTTCTTCATGAGTTAGTCTTGGTAGGTTTTCTAGTTCTAGGAATTTGTCCATTTCAACTGTGATAGGCAATTTGTTAGTGTACAGTTGTGCATAGTACTCTTTTATGATACTTTTTATTTCTGTAGAAATAATAGTAATATCCCTACTTTCATTTCTTATTTCAGTAATTTGAGTCTTTTCTCTTTTTTCTTAGTTCTTCTGGCTAAACGTTTGTCAATTTTGTTGCTCTTTTCAAAGCACTGACTTCTGCTTTCATTGATTTTTCTATATTGTTTCACTGTTCTCTAGTTTGTTTATCTCCATTCTAATCTTTATTATTTCCTTCCTTCTGCTAGCTTTGGTCTTAGTTTGCTCTTTTTCTAGTTCTTTATGTAGTAAAGTTTGGTATTGATTTGAGATCTTACTTTTTTGCTGTGTCCTGTAAGTTTTGGTATGGTGTTTCTGTTTTCATTCATTTCTATATATGTTCTAATTTCTCTTGTGATTTCTTCTTTGATCCATTAGCTGTTTAAGAGTGTATTGTTTAATTTCCAAAAATTTGTGAATTTTCTAGTTTTACTTCTGTTATTGATTTCTAAAAGTGCATCCCATTCTGGTTGGAGAAGATACTTTATATAATATTCATCTTCTTAAATCTAACAAGACTTAATTTGTGGCCCAGCAGGTGGTCTAGTTGGGAAAAAGTCCCAATAAACCAAGTAGAGTTAACATATATAGAGAACACTACCCAACAACAGTAACATACACATTCTTCTCAAATGCACATTCTTCTGTTGTCATTGGGTAGTGTTCTCTATATGTGTGTTAGATCTACTTGGTTTATTGTGTTAAATTCTGTATTTCCATACTTATTTTCTGTCTGGTTGTTCTGTCAGTTAGTGAGAGTTGGGGATTGAGGTCTTCAATTATTACTGTGGAGGTATCTCTTTCTCCCTTCAAATCTCAATTTTTGCTTTATATATTATGATCTGTTACTAGGTACATAATTGTTTATAATTGTTATATCATTTTTGCCATATTGAACTTTTTATTAATAGATAATGACCTTATTTGTATCTTAACCTTTTTTGAATTAAAGTATGTTTTATCTAGTATTATTAATAGTATAGCTTCCTCTGCTCTATTTTGGTTATTACTTGCATGAGATATATTTTTTCTATCCTTCCACTGTCTATGTTTTTGTGCCTTTGTATATAAAGTAAATCTCTTCTAGACAACATAGATACATCATGTTTTTCCATCCATGCTGACAATCTGTCTTTTGATTAGAGCGTTTAATCCATTTCTATTTAAAGTAATTATTGATGAGGAGCAACTTTTGTCATTTTGTTACTTGTTTTCTAAATGCCTTATATCTTTTTTATCCATCATTTCTTACATAGCTATCTTTTGTGTTTTAGTTGATTTTTTTTTTTTTTAATTTAAGAGATAGTGTCTCACTCTGTCACCCAGGCTAGAGTGCAGTGGTGTGATTATAGCTCACTGTGGCCTTGCACTCTGCAGTCACTTGGCAATTTTCTCATGTATGCAGTTGCTTTAGAATGGGCTTTTTTTTTTTTTTTTTTTTTTGAGACAGAGTCTCACTTTGTGTTCTCGACGCTAGTGAGAGCCCCGTGGCGTCAGCCTAGCTCACAGGGTGGCAACTGAATTTTTTTTTTTTTTTTTTTTTTTTGAAGCCTTGCTCCTAACAGGAGAAAAAGATAAAAACGTAGGGGCAAAGGAAGAAGAGTGTTAGTCCTTTAAATTCCCTGGAAGTGTCTTCAGCAGGTAGGGCAGGGGCTTGCAAAAATGGGATGTGTAACAAGAAAAGCTGCCTATTTGTACTTCTGTGATTAGAAGCATCAGTGTACTATTAGCATAGATCCCAGATATATGGAGGGAAGGGTGTTTTTTGCCCACCCTTGCTCCTGTTTGCAGTGTACGAGCTGATTCTGGAATGCATGCACAGCTCTTGCCAGGGGTCTGAGGGTGAGGGATGGGTAGCTGCTACTGTGCTAGGAGCTGCAATTGACTGAAATTAACCACAGTTTACCTCCCAAGCCTTCCTCTAGATGTTGCAGGTAGACTCCAGAGTTCCAAATTACATCAGACAGATTCTGCAGGTGGAATTGTTAGTATCTACTCTGACATCTGCTTTGGAATTTTTAATAATTTTAAATATTATTGCTTTGTGAAAACACCCTCCACAGTATGCTTTCATCTAAACTCCATAGCAGTCGACACAGAAGAAGACTTCTGTGACCAAGTGTGGAATTTTTCCCCACACACCAAGCAGCAGTCACCAGCTGAGCATTCTCTAATTCAGTTCTGACACTATCTACCCAGAGATATCTACCCAAGATGTTCCCTCACCCGCACCTCAGACACTAGTCTTAAGTCTGAGCCTCTGTTACTTCTGACTGACTGGCTTCAAATTGGGGTTCCCAGGATTCCCCTCTTTGGGTTTGATTAATTTACTAGAGCAGGTTCCAAAACTCAGAGAAACATTTACTTAATGTTTACCAGTTTATTACAAAGGATATCTTAAAGGACACAAATAAACAGCCAGATGAAGAGATACATAGGGCAAGGTCTGGAAGGATCCTGAGTGTAGAAGCTTCTGTCCCTGTGGAATTGGGGTGCACCACACTCCCAGCATGTGGATGAACTCTTATTCTCTTTGCTGTCCACCTCCACATGTTCAGCTCTCTGAACTCAGTCCTCTTATGTTTTTATAGAGCCTTCATTACAGAGGCATGATTAACAACTGTGTAGAAATGTGATTGGACAAAAAGCACATGACCTAAACCCAGCAAAGCTTCTCTGTTCAGGTTCTTCCTGGCCTCTCTGTGTAGCATTCCTTCCTCCAGGGTATGGAGCAGGACCCCTCTGTATAATGAAGAACTTTTGACCCACCATGAGATTAGAGTCCTGCAATATGACCACACTCTTTATTCTCTGGAATGTTCATTTTTCCTTAGAAATCATGGAGGTAGAGATTTATTTAATAATATATCTAGAAATATTCATGTTATGACTAATAATCTTTATTGAGAACAAATGTCTAATGTTTAATAAACTGCAGTAGTTTATTTCCGATAAAGCATTATGTAGCAAATTTATTCACTGAAAATTTTATTGTGAAAAATGGGGTTAAAATTTTAAAAATATACTCTTTCACTTGTGTTTTTTATATAACTTTTATTTTTTTTAGCTTAACCAATTTATATTATAACTATTTTTCACCTCAGGGCTTTGCTAAATATAGAGTTTTAAATATTGAAAATTTTAATCCTTTTAATTTACTTGTTATCCAGCTGCATGGACCCAGAATTATATGACATTAATTTGGATTTTCTTTGGTAGATTACATGCAGCAAACTGGAGGCCAAGCACATCTTTTCTTCTGGATGACAGTGGAAGGATACCGGGTTACAGCCCAACAGCAGCTAGAGGTTTTATTAAGTCGTCAGAGAGATGGAAAACATCAAACTAACCAAACCAAAGGTCTTTTAAGAGCAGCTGCTGTTGGAATCTACGAGCAGTATTTGTCAGAAAAGGTGAGGATATATTTCAGTTACTGCTTTCTTAATCTTCTTTAACAGTATTATTAATAATTTTTGTAATACTTGCAAATAATCATTACTTACACCAGGGACAACTACCTCACAAACATTTCATTTAATCTTGATAACAGTCTCCTTGTGTATTTTAGTCCTCATTGTTTAAATGAAGAATCTGATCTCTAGGCAGTCAAATTACCATGACCATAGTCATGCAAATACTAAATGACCAAGTCAAAATTCAAAGACACAGTAGGCTGAGAGTAAAAGGATGGAAAATATAAACCATGTAAAAGTAAACAAAGGAGAGTTGGAATGGGCTATACTAATATCAGACAAAATAGAATTTAAGGTAAAATTGTTAGTAAAGAAAAGAGGAGCATTTTTTTTTTTTTTTTTTTTTTTTTGAGACAGAGTCTTGCTTTGTTGCCCAGGCTAGAGTGAGTGCCATGGCGTTAGCCTGGCTCACAGCAACCTCAAACTCCTGGGCTCAAGCGATCCTCCTGCCTCAGCCTCCCGAGTAGCTGGGACTACAGGCATGCGCCACCATGCCCGGCTAATTTTTTCTCTATATATTAGTTGGCCAATTAATTTCTTTCTATTTATAGTAGAGACGAGGTCTCGCTCTTGCTCAGGCTGGTTTTGAACTCCTGACCTTGAGCAATCCGCCCGTCTCGGCCTCCCAGAGAGCTAGGATTACAGGAGTGAGCCACCGCGCCTGGCCAAGAGGAGCATTTTATAATGATAATAGGGTCAACTGATCAGAGTGATCAAATAGTTATAAACATATATATACCTAAAAACAAAACCTCCACATACATGAAACAAAAATTTATAGAATTGAAGAGAAAAAGAGACAATTCAATGATAATATTTGAAAACTTCAATATCCCACTCTCCATAATTGATAAAACAATTAGATAGAAATTTAACTGAGGATATATAAGACTTAACAAATAATATAAATCAATTAGACCAAACATATCTGTAGAACATTTTCTCTAACAACAGCAAAATACACATATTCAAGAACACATGGAACATTCTCCAGTATAAATAATATGCTAAGGTATAAAACCTGTCTCTGTTTAAAAGTATTGAAATCATACAAAGTATGTTCTGTGATCATAGTGGAATCAAATTAGAAATCAACAGAAGGAAATTTGGGAAATCTACAAATAGTTGAAAATTAAACAACATATTTCTAAATAGCTTCTGGCTCAAGAAATTACAAGGAAACTGGAAAGTTTTTTTCTTGAAAATGACAACAATATCAATACTCATGAGATGCAGCTAATGCAGGGCTGAGAGGGAAATTTGTAGCTTTAAAACTGTCTAAGTAGAAAGAATAAAGATATAAAGTCAACAATCTAAGTTTTCACCTTAAAAATCTAGAAAAAGAAAAGAAAAATAAACCCAACGCAGATGGAAGAAAACAAAGATTAGAAGGAGAATCAGTGAAATAGAAAAACAGTAGTGGAAAATCAGTAAAACCAAAATTTAGTTCTATGAAAATATTAACAATATTGACAGACCTTTAGCTAGACTAGCCATGAAAAAATGGAAGAAGACACAGATTAGCAAAATCATGAATGAGAGAAGAGATATCACCACTGACCCTATAGAAATTAAAAGGAGTAAAGAGCACATACTGTGAACAACTTTATGACAACAAAGTAAACAACTTAGATGAAATGGACAGATTCCTAGAGATATGTAAGTTGTCAAACTGACTCAATAAGAAATAGAAAGTATAAGTGGTTGTTTCTGTCATTCTTGCCAAGTGTAGAAAAGATGCTAAAATGTTGGTCGGCAGTAAAATCATATTTCCAAAGTGTGGGGCAAGAAGAATATCTTTCTCTGATTTGAGAATGAGAATGGAAAAGAGGATTACAGTAAACAGAAATTCATAAGCTGTTTCTCTAAAACTGATAAATATTCTTTGAAGAGCCCAGAGATAGCCTAAAAAAGGATTAACTGACCTGACTTGTTCCGTGTTATGTGTAGATTGTGACAAAGTCTCTTAGTGAACAAAATGACTCCTTTTTTGAAATAAGACTACTTGAGAATCAAAAAAAAAATCACTGGAAAGGGACAGGCAACTTAACCACTTCAGTACCGTGCTCACTAGCCGCGAAACCTTGCCCACAGCTGGCACTCATAGTCCACATGATAGTTTGTGCTGTGCATTGACAACGAATCTGTTTTGCTCTTGTGCGATGAGGAAAGCTTTAAAGCACTGAAAGCTTGTTTTACTTTACAGGCAGCTTTAGGAAAATAACTATAAAACTCCTACTTAAGGACTTGTTAAAAGGTCACAGATTCGTAGTAACTTACTAGCTGAACGTACGCAGTGGAACTGCAGAGATAAAAGCAAAAGTTTTTGGTTGACGCTTGGCTGTGCGCCTTCATATTACGGCTGTCGGCTAAATTCCACGCTCGCGTTCATCTGTGGCTGATGACTATAGTCGACGCTGGTACCAAAGTGGTTAAACAGGATTTTCTCAATTTCTTTATTAAAACTCTAATTTATTTGGAATTCATCTGCAGTTTCACAAGTTTAACTGAGCTCTATATTTTAAAACCATTTTTCCTGAGAGAGATAATTTAACTTATGAAGACATTGTTATGCTTCAGAGTCTTTAAAAATGGGCATTTTAGGCATGGATAAACCTGTATGATGAATTTATAAAGGAAAGGACCAACAGCTGGTCTACCTACCAAACAAGCCATCAATGCAAAGTTGTTGGACATTTTTTTTGAGAATTGGAAACATATTCCTACAGATTTTAAAACCTGATGTTTTTAGTAAATAAAATAACAATTATTCCATGTCCAAATGATTTTGTTGAAAGGATATTTAACTTGATGTCATCACATTGGATTGGCACAAGAAATAAGTATGAGTTGGGCTTGAAAAGAGCAGAGCTAAAAGTCAAAGTGAATTTTACGGTTGACTATATTCAATTGTAATCCTACATAAAAAAGAAAAGGATGTCCTGAAGGCTACAGGCAATTCAGAGAGGTATTATTAGAAAAGGAAACAGAAAGGGTAAAAATATCCTACTGTATCATGGAACACATAGAAAAGTCATTGTTTATATTTTGTTAAATTTAGATAATATGTTTTTGCATGTACATTCTGCTTTTAAAAAGTCTTACATTTCTGTATTTTAAGAATATAAAATACTATAGCCTGCAAAATTTAAATACCTTATTATATATAAATTATTTTTATAAAATGTTATGTTTCTGGATTTTAATGCAAAATAATATAGCCTATAAAATTTAAATATTCAATAAAGTTTTTTAAAAGTTAAATTGGTATATCAGAGAGCCATTATAAACTACATATTATATTTTTCTTAAATATTATTTGTTCAGTTCTATTAATTACTACTAATTGCCACTGTTAACTAGTCCTACTGTTTAAATAATCACATTTAGTAATAGAAAAGTAAAATATATACATTAATAGATAATTTTAGAAAAACATCCATTTTCATATTTTTAGGATAAAGTAGTAACAAATATGTATAAATATTCCTTCTGCATTACTTTTTTTGTGGAAGAGGATATCCTGATTGGTTGTGTTTCATGATGCCTTTCTAAAAATGTTGGTTACCTTATACTAAGGATGTGACTTAATCCAATTCTGTGTATTTGAGATGTATAGGAAGAATTATAATTAAAGGAAACAACTATAAAATATTATTTTCAAACTTGCCTCTTTGTTTCCTAGAAAACTAAGTTAGTGAGCGCAAAGGGCAAATGAAAGGGCAAAACCAACTAACTTATTCCTTTCTAATCTTTGTCACATACTTGAAGTTGTTTAGTTTTCCTGTTTCTTTCAAGAGACACCCCCTCAACACACACAAACATACAACAAATAAGCACCCCTCCAAAAAACAACCACCACCATGCAACCTGGTTAGGTGTGTACTCTCCATAGTGTTTAATTGACAATGGAGCATTAGAAGTTTTATAACCTTTTTCCAATGCATTTATACCTTGCTGTTTACTTCTTTTTCTCCTTTCTTGATTTATCCATTCTACTTTTTGGGTATTTTATTGGATGTAAATAGAAAAATTATTTAAATAATACATTCTTTGTTAGTTTTTCTGAAAGTTACCATGCAGGAGTGGGGAACCTGCGGCCTTCTGATTTCAAGATTCTTCTTTTTTAAGCACCAAAGGAGGCAAGAAAATCTTCATTTTTCTCTGCTGTACCACTTTTAATAAAAAGGATTTGTTCTGTAAAATTTGGATTCAATCAAAAGGCTGCAATTAAGGACTAGAAGGCCACATTTTGCCTTAAGGCCACAGGTTCCCCACCCCAGCTCCAGAACTAAAAATTCAAAACTTGACATGCCAAAGCTTTTGACATGCCTGGCTTTTCAGTGTTTTTTCTTTCAGTGAAGTAATTTTTGAAATTGAAAGGTCAGACTTTATATTTCTGTATAATATCTGTCACATTATGTACTTTGAAATGGAAATTCTTAGAACAAATTAATTTTTCAGATTTTTTTTCCTCCCATATCGTACTGGAACTCTGTTCCAGCAGCATTGGCTATGACACCAAATTTAGGATAACAGTAGTCTCTTTTAAAGACTATGCAGGAGGATTCTCTAGCACATAATGATAAATCAAATGGCTTATTTTGACAATAGTATTAATACACATCTACTAAATACTAACTCATTTTTTTAATTGCACAAAAATGACATTTCAATAGCTCAGTGCAAATACAGCGAGCCAGTTCACAAAGCTTTAAGGTACAGCTTAACTACTATGAAAACTTGTTATATAAAAATGAAAGGGTAAATAACAAAAATAAAGCTCTTTAATTTTAAAAAAATTCAATTAACTTGGAAAATCTTTAGAATAAAATATTATATCAATTCAGAAATGCTTTAATTTATAGATGCCAGTAGTACATTACGGTTGATAAGGACTCTTCAAAGAAAGAGAGAATTACTCCAAACTGGGCAGCTCCAGACAAGAGTGGAAGTTCTTGGTGTGCTGGCTATTCCTGATTCAGCAATTTTAGTCATCAGTTTTATTATCAGTTGATGTCATTCAACCTATAATATTTTTATCTTTAGGCAAATTCTAAAAAATATTTAAAGTTAAATATAAGGCCAAAGACCACTGTTAAGAATTTCTGAAATGACCAATATATATCTAAAAGACCTAAAGACTAATGCCAACTTTAGACCTATGGTATTACTGGGGGGAAAGGCATAGATTAATACTTCTTCTATTACTTAGTACCTTTTTGTAAGCTTAGCAATGTAAGCTTAGCTTAGCTTAAAACTTCCTTATGAAAACTGAACTTATATATTTATTTCTGCATGTATAGAACTTGTGTGTAAAGTGAAAAAGTTCCCACTAGGAAGATAATTAAAGATTGTTAATGTTCTTTTTATCACTTAGCAGCCAAGACACATGCTTATTTCTGTCCTCTAGAAGCAGTGTTAGCTACTAGTTTTGATTCAGGAAAATGTATACCTTCAGGAAGTTTTACATGAGATACATATTTAGTCTTTTTCTCAAACTTCTTCATCTTTTCATTATAGACATTAAACTGGGAGTCTATTCCAATAATTCTATCCCACTATGTTGAAGCACAGTGTCTAATGAAGTTCATGTAGGATGCAGAGAACCACAGTAGAGAGGGATGGAGATTTAAAGGTTTGAGAGGAATATTATAACCATTATGGATCAAATAAATAGTTTCTGTTAAACGAATGATCACCCATGTCCAAAGAAGAAGTACATGATCACACAAAAGTATGATTCCAATGAAAAATCCAGTTCCAAGAATTAGAGTTTCCAAAAGATGTGCATGTTCAGTTTTCATTCCAAACAGAGCCTGAAACTCATAAATTTTATGAATATATATTCTTTTGTGGTGTAAGAAGAGTCTATGCAGGAAATAGTGCCAAGTATCCTCAATGACTGCACAGCCAAAGCATCTTGCCAAAAGGACGTATCATCTTGGCATTCTTTCCCAATCATAAGGAATATTGAAATGCTCTGTAGAACAATAGGTTCTAAAAATCAAAGGCAGCTGGATATAAAGGTGATTAAAGAGAAGTACTTTAAAGCATTTCCATGGGTTTTCCCATGTTTCTGGTTTATCCTTTTGAATTTTGTACTTTTTCATGTAAGGTACAAATTGAAATAAAAATCCGGGTAAACAGAACAAGAAATGAAAGATATCATACATAAACTATAAGGAGATCCTAGTGTTGTAATCTGGAACACTGTATAATTATTCAATGTATTGTTTTAGGCTTTTTTGAATGGTTTTTGCAGAGGATTCTTAGGTAAGAGCAAATCTACATACTCTACAGCCACGGATGCCAAAGATGCTGACACTTTCATTTGTTGCCAGTTTTCAAATGTTTGCAGAAAGCCTTATAATTCAGGACAGTGGCAAGGTGACTCCACTAATTAAGTCCAAGACAATGTTTCCTATATGTGAGACACTGTGGTTACATAGATCTCTTTTGTCTCTATGTAACACTGTCTTACATAGATCTCTTTTAATCTTTACAGTAATCTTAACCTTATATAATACTCCATTTTACAGATGGAGTAAATGAGGCTCAGTGGGAGGTAACTTGCTCTGCAAAAGTCAAGATTTAAATCCATGTTTGTCTACTAGTCTTAGACATAGTACACGATAAAGAGAAGGTTTTAGCCTTGTTTCAGCCTTCTTAAACAGCAAGGTGTCATTACAAGCAAATGATTCTTATCTGCCAATTATTTTGAATAATATTTTGAATTCTTATCTGCCATTATTCTATCAAGTATTAACTTGTATTTAGAAATTACAAAGATCATTACTATTACTTTTCTCTGTTTGTTAGGCATCTCCAAGAGTTACTGTTGATGACTATTTAGTAGCAAAATTAGCAGATACTTTGAATCATGAAGATCCAACCCCTGAAATCTTTGATGATATTCAAAGAAAGGTATTTATGTGCAGCATTATCATTTTTTTCTTTCTTGAAAAAAAGATATTTCTACATGCATGTCATTAGTTTTTTTAAAAGTTATTGAAACTTTAAAAGAAGTAGAGTGGTAACTAAAAGGTAAGTTATGGCAGTAATACCTCCCAATTCCAAAAATGCAGACCAATTTTTTTGTTTATTTTGTTATTGACCAATGAGGAAAATCCTTAAGTTGGGTTGTTTTATGTGAATCTGACCGTAGAGCCAAATATTCTAATCTTAGAATTTGATGAATTGATGATGTGTAAATAATAAGACTCTCAAATTCATTTTAATATGAGCCTTGAGCCTTTATGTATACTTGTTTCTAGAAAACACTACTTCCTAGAACATTATATCTAACCTGCTTAACCTGCTATCATGTGACTTATGTTGTAGCAGGACCTTTTTCAGTTTAATTTAGTTACTGAAAGAACTAGAAGAAATTATTAGTTGTGAAGTAGTCTTACTGCTGATATCTTTTGACTATGATACGTTATGTACATTATGGCAAGGCCTCAGAGTAACTTTTGGTGAAATATTATTTAGTAAATATCACAGCATACCTGTATTAATTATTGCATATCTTGATATATTCAAAAAGGTATATGAATTGATGCTACGAGATGAGAGATTTTATCCTTCCTTCAGGCAGAATGCACTGTATGTGCGCATGTTAGCAGAGCTGGACATGTTAAAAGATCCTAGTTTTAGAGGATCAGATGATGGGGATGGAGGTAAGGTGGCACACATTTTGCATATATTTATATTACCGTATATTCTGGTTAACCAAAAAAATTACCTTTTATGTAAGATTAAGAAATATTCTTTGAAGCCCAAATATAAATTGTAATATATTTAAAGATCTATAAATGATTGACAAAGTTTAGTGACTATACTAAAGTTTGAAAATTGAATAACAAATTAGAGTATAACTATAGGATCTTTGAATTCTTAAAGAAGAATGTTTTCTTGCGGTTAGTCACTGAAATATTTTTATGGCAGTTTCCCTTTTGCTGGTAAATAATAATATTCATGATTCACAATAGGATTATTGAGAAGATTAAATAGATAATAAGTAATGACTCCGAAAGTATGTCATAAATAAAGCATAATAAAAAACGACAGTGATAAAAAAAATCTTTAATTGTATTCTTTTCTAAACCCTGCACAGTGTGGGAGACTTTTGAGCTAGAAGTTTCAGAAGTTGTTTATTCTAGCTTTTCCAATAAGAATGCTGAGACCTATTAGCATGTTATAGTGAAAAAAGCAGACTTTAAGAGTCAGAGAATTTAGATTTTATTCTCCTTCTCCCAGCTACCACCTGTGTGATATTGCCAACTACTTGTTTCTTTAAGCATCATTTTTCTTATTTGTAAATCTGGAATAATGTTCTCATCATAATATCTTGCCTCAGAGTCATTGTCAGATTTAAGTGGAATTATGCATATAAAATGATTTATAACCTAAAGCACAAATATAGGTTTTTTATTAGTAAATAGTAAGTTAGAGATAAGAGTAGTGGGAGACAGCCCTTAGAACATAAGTCTCCAAATTCTTAGGCCCAATGATCATTTTACTTGTGATTTAATCCAGATGTATTTATTAAGCTCTAATTAAATATCTAGGGTTTGATGAACTTTCTGGTATGTTCTACTAAGTAAATGAGCAAGGTAAATAAAAAGTAAATGAGAGAGGTTTAAGAAAGTGCTTTAGTTATAACCATTTGTGGACAAGACTGCCTGGGGACGGTGATAAGGATCTGTTAGTGAGCACTGCTTTAAAAAATCTCTCTATTATGTAAGATTCCCAGCCTCACCTTTCTTCCGTGTCCTGTCCCTCTGTCTACACTAGTGAGGTATTATTTTTTAAATAATCTAAGAAACCTATATAGAAGTTTACACTTATATTTTAATAACTTTTGTATTGGTTGTCTGATACTCTGGGTTTTTAATTAATACTCTTTCAGGCTTATTGTAAAATTGGAATAATCTATTGACTGAATTTGATGGATAATTAAGGAAGTTATTTTTTTTTTAAAGAATACTTCTCTGGGAGCTGAATAGTAAAATTTAATTTTCCTGTAGTTTGTTATATAGTGTATGTATATTTCCCATATGTGTTGAAAATGTTCTTTTATGGAGCTGCTATGAAATTTGCAATAGCAACTCTATATCAAGTAACCCCATCCTAAAATGACTATTGTAAAAGTGTTTATTGTTTATATTTTATCTGTTTTAAAAATTTCTTAGTATTTGTGAAATGGATTTGCTATATGACTCAGATTGAAAGAAGATACATTGAGTCATACCAACTAATTGTGTGAGCCTCTAAGCAATTTAAAATGGTGATAGTAAGCAATATATTCTGTAGGATTAGTTTTTGATCGTATAACTTAGGGACTCTTCCAAAATCTTTTAAATTGACTTTTTTAGCTCCCATTCATATCTTTCCACCTAGTCCATCTTCTTCCATGCAACTATCAGAAGCAAGCCATAAGCAATCTTAAACTTCCCAACACTTCATACTGTATGTTAATTAAAGCATGAGGTACATTAATTTTTTTTTCTGGAATTGGTTTTGACCTAAAGTAAACATGCTTCTCTTATTTATCAGTCATTTGAGTAACCCATTACATTAGAATCATTCGTTGTAGCTTGAAAGTATATGCTTATATATCTTTCTAGAACATGCTTTCTACAGTTCTGTTTCCTAATTGATGAGTTTTTATACATTTTATACTGAGAAATCATCTATCCCTTTTATGAAACCATTTGGAAAAAAGTATGTGGAGTGATAGGTATAACATGAAACATTATTATTAAAAATAGCTGTCAACTTTGTCTTTGTCAATGTTTAAGTTTTAGGCCATTGGTATGCTTTTTCAGATAGTAATGCTTATGATTTACTTCTTTTTGTAAGATTATTTGATCAAAAATAGGCCTTCACATTTTTTGTTATAAATTAGATTTCTGACTTTGAAGCTTCTCAGCACTACATTGATACATATTTTTTTAGGCATTCTGAAATGTTGACTACATTTTAAACATTCTGAAATCATTCTTTAATACAGGGATTAATGTATAGCTGATTTTTAAAAAAGCCAGTCTGCAATTAATTAATGGGCCAAATCTTATCATGTGTGATAGTAATGTATCTTATGGTACTTTCACTTTTCTATGGAAGAAATTTTATTCCTATTTAACCAAATTTCACAATAGGTAGATAGTTTAACTGGATGGCTTGCTTGTGCATGCACTCTCTTCTCCTTTCCTCTTCTTTCTTCCTTCTCTTTTTGCTTTCTTTAGTTACTTAAGTTTTAAATTATTTTATAAGTAGATATATTCCCCTAGTAGATATTTTCCCCCTTATTAAAAGAAGGTGTCAAATCTTAAAAATATTTGAATTTTGCTTTCCTTTTAAAATTTTGATCTCACTCACATTTTTTCACCATGTTGAAAAATACTTTCTTTTGTTTTCTCATATTTATAGGCAGTTAAATTCTTGATTAAATGTGGTCCAAAATTGATTTTAGACTGTATTTTTGGATTTTCTTATTATTTACCACAAAAGTATGCTTTATTATGCTACTGAATTCTCCTTTTAATTTGACTTGTCTTTGGTGGGAAGTTTTAAGAGGTAGGCAGACCGCAGAAGTGGTAGGAGGCATATAATTGAATGAAGAGGATAGAGAACTATTTGTTTACTCATTTTAGTTATCACCATTTAATTATAACCAAAGGGTAATCCTAGGTGAAATTTCCAGTTTACCTTTTGTGACCAAAGGTCTAAGGACTCAAGAAATGTTCTTGGGTATTTAGAGTAAAGTTGTTAGGCATTACTGGCTGCCTTTTTGTAGAAGTAATAGATTCTTGGTTTTTGAATATCTGTTTAGAGAACTAAAACCATAAATTATCTCGTAAACATACATTAGAAACCACACATTAACTTTAAAGTATATGTGAATATTCCTTTACCATAGATTTATTTATGTGTTTAATAAAAGGATACTTTAATTGGTAACTTAATTTGCTTATGTATATAATAAAACCCTGAGGGAGAAGATTATTTCTTGATATTAATTTTAATAATCTATAATTGATTCATTCTCTAACATTAATTTTAAAAGTTAATTTTTCCTAGTTGCCTTTTAGTTAAATGTCATTACATGTGTTTTAAATGTCTTTTGGTCTATGAGTTATATATTGATTAAGAATCTAGACTTCCAATGTTTTTAAGCCAAATCTACTACCGAAATAAGTAGACTTAATAGATACATTAAAAATCAATCTATGCCTCACACTAAAGACTAATTTTACTTGTAATATTTCTTACCCAGTGAAACAGAATAACAAAATAGTGCTGATGTTTCCTAATGGGCTTTCCTCTGTAGTGTTTTCCTTGTGCTTACGTTGTATTAAGCAACTTAATGTGTTGCTATGAGACTAAAAATACTCCCCTGAACATTAATGCCTTTTTGGTTTTTGGCCAGCTGTCAGGTACATGTATATTTTCACTAAAATACCTGGCTTTAAAAACCACAAGACAGACTTAAGAGGTCAGGTTTTTGGAAGTATTCCACAATTTTTCTTTACTGTTCTGTTATGTCTTGGTTTATGTGACTTTCATTCTTGGTGTTTGAACCTTAGATAAAGCAACCATTTTAAAGTTTTGTACTGTATACTAAGTTGAATTTCCCCCCCTACAGAATCTTTTAATGGGTCTCCTACAGGAAGCATAAATTTGGTAAGTACTATTATGGGAACTTTAATTATTAAAGTGACTTGAAAATATTATAAAAGGCTGAGCCTTGTATGTAATTAAATGATATATAGAATCCACCAAATCATCCTTTAGTATTGTACAAAGTTATTATGCTTTTAAAGTAATACTAAGTTCACACATAAGGGATATATAAATCAGAACTTACAAGTGATATTTCATTTTTATTTATTTTTTAGTGGTAATTTTATTTTTTGTTTTATTGATGCATAATATTTTGCATATTTATAGGGTACATGTGAGTATTTGTTACATGCATAAAATGAGTAATGATCAAGTCATGATATTTAGGATATTCATCAACTTGAGTATTTATCATTTCTATGTGTCGAAACATTTCAAATCCTCTCCTCTATCTACTTTGAAATATACAATATGTTGTTGCTAGCTATAGTCACTAGCCTACTAAACATTAGAACTTACTGCTTGTATCTAACTGAATGTTTGTAACATTCACCAACCTCTTGGCTTAGGTCATACCTGCATAATTGCAGTTGCATTTTATAAAGAAATTGATTTTATTATTTTTGATTCCAATATTTAGTATGTTTAAATGACTATGGTTAGTGCTGTGATAATGCAGTTAATGTGTGACACATAAATGTTTACATTAGAATCAGTTTTTTCTCCTCTTGTATTTAGAAAAGAAATATAAAACTAGTTAGGATAACTAAAAACTTCTAGAAGTATCTTAAAATCTATAGTAAAACAAATTGAGGTCATTATAAAAAAGTGTATTTAAGCTTAGAGAGTTTTATAGCAACTACATCTTATGATTAGAGGTTTAAGAATGATGTGTTTTTACCATATGAACTGTCATTGGCATTTCATATATTCAGAGTGTAGTGTAAAATGATGAACATTTCAATTCTCTTATATATCCAGCCTTGCCACTGAGTAACTTATTTCCTAAAATGCTGCTAGGAAGAAATATTAAGTGTTTTATGAAGGTTCAGTCCAAAGTTTGGCGGAGTGGGGTAGAGGTGGTGAGATGTATAGGGGCTTGTTGTTTTGCTTTTCTTCCCACCTGCATTGCTTTTTCTTTTAAACCTTTTGTAATAGCTAAATGGTTTAAAGATCTGTTGTGTTAAATTGTCAATTATATTACTATACTTTTTCTAAAATAACCTTAACTGATTAAATGTTCTATTATTATACAAAGTATAATCTTTAACAGAACACTAAAGCAAATCAACCGTAGCATTATGTCAGATATTTTGTAACTTTTAAAATGTTGTTTTCCTAAATCATTTGGTATCATTACAATTTACTCTTTATAGTTCAGAGCCTTGTAACAAAAAGGAATTGTTTCTAGTGTACTGAAGGAAGTATGATGTTCATTATACAGAAAAAGTTTCCAAATGTGATGAAACTTTTCCTTGGTTTGAAATTTACTAGTATTCACGTTTGTAAAGCTTGTACGAGTGTTTAAACACTAGTTTAAAAAAGTTTTTTTCTTTCTTCCATATCTGGAATAAATATTTTTTTCAAATAAAAGAAACCCCTTTTTGTCACATTGATATAAACCAGAATAGTCTTTGGATCAAAAAATGGTGACACTTGAGATCAGTGACTTGCAGTATTTTCTTATTCCTATAAATCTGTTAAATTCAAGCTTTTAAGTATCTGGAACTTTTCTTATTGTTTTTTTAATACACAGACAAATTTTAATGGATAGCTGCATTTAAAAAATGATTTAAGATTATAAACTAGATCATGATAGTTTATTCCAATATACTAGACAAAGAAGATGCTTAATGTCTTTGATGTTTTACTCATTTTGTAATTGAGATTGGCATGTAAATTATAAGCATTTCTAATGGTGCCATTGAAGTTGTGTTGATGAGCTATCATACTAAATTTGAATTTTCAGTTTTTGGATTAGTGTAATGTTAAGAAACACTTCCTTTTGCAAGAACTTTAAGAGTCTTAAGGACTACCTTGCAAATTGTGTTTTATTTTAGTATAGGATTAATGCACTTGTTTTGAAATCATAATTTTCTTTTACTAATCAGTACTTATATTTCTAAATCAGATGTTTTTCTGTAGTTAATATTTTTAACCAATTATAACTTTAAGTCTACTTGTGCATTATAACTGTAATGTTTATGTGACTTTTCCATCAGATTTTTCTTCATATGTAATGAAAATAATATTTGTTACTTATTTTAAATGTGTTAAAAAGAACATTTATCTACTAAGTCTTTTAAGAACTTTTAGATTGCATAGATGCTAACATGTTTAAATTGATTAGTTTTTAAATGTTACCTACAAATGAAGATTACCATTATATTAATACTTTATTTAAAAATTATTTTTTGTTCCCTGTACTAGCTTGTAATTGGAAGAAGTTCTAGTAGAGACAATATAAATTTGATGAAATATTCCATTCTTCTCAGGCTTCTTTCACATAAAAATAATATTGAAGGTTGTGCTGCTTCTATCAAAATGCTTTACTAAAGGTCACATGAGCACTTACAAATAATTACATTCTATTTCTTTTCCAAGTATTTTCATTCACATTGTGTCCTGATAGAAATGTAGAGCATCTATTAATACCATTTTACCATTGGGGAAACAGAAAGAAAGAGTAGTTGATATGACTAAAGTCTCTTAAAGTCTCAGTGGTGGAGCCTGGACTAGACCTAATTTAATTTAATGATTCTGCTTGACTGGGGAAGTCCTATGGCTTATCTGTGGAGTTAACACATTTTGCTTCTCTTAATGATCAGTCTTCAGTAGTTATGTTTTTGGCTTGCTTCTTTCAATGCAATTGTCTTAATTTAAATGGCTTTATGTCATATAGATGTCATTTAGATAACTCTTTTAATAATAATTACTAATCTCACATTAGAACTCAAAAGCTTATTCAAATCCTATGGTTTTTAAAGTGTGAAATATGTCTGAATTATATAATACAAATATATGAAATATGAATAAGAATATGTGAAAAAAATCTCTGAATTATGTGTTGTGTCTGTAGGACCTCTCGCACTTTCAATGATTTGCTAAGAAGGCTCACAGGACTAAGCATAGTCATACTCATGGCTAGGATTTATTTTAGTGAAATGAGATAAACCAAAATGAGCAAAGGGAAAAGGTATATGGGACAAAGTCCAAAAGAAAATAGGCACAAGCTTCCAAGAGTGCTCTCCCAGGGGAGTCACACAAAACATACTTAATTCCCCCAGCAATGATTTGTGACAACACATGTGAAATGTTGCCACGAGGAAAACTCATTGAAGATTAAGAGTGTAGGCTTTTTATTGGAGGCAGATTATATAGCACATACTAAATCCCAGAAGGAAAGCAGGTGTTCAGCATAAACATAGTTTTTTATGGATAGTTTAAGTACAGTAAACTACTCTAATGATTAGAGAATGCTAACTTTAAGTTCCCAGATTCCATCCAAGGGACAACCTTGTAAGCAGTCCTTTCTAGGGAAAGCAGTTCTAGGCTGCCATGTTAACAGTCTGCCTTCATTTTATGATTATGATCCATTCTGTATATGCATGGGTATATATACATGTGGCAAAAACATTTTTAAAATTTAGACCCAAAGGCCATAGTTATAAAAGATTGTTTTGGGTCAGTCAATAATAATATTTGTTTGTAGAATTACTTTTGAAAATTATTTAAAGTTTATCATAATCTATGGATTCATTTTATTTAATAAATAATCATAATTATAGCTAACATATGGAGAAGCGGTGAAGGAAGAAATAATCTCATGTATTAAATCTGTTACTAAATTATTTTGTTTCATATTGATAGTTCCTTAATTTTGGCTTTTCTCCTATTAGTATAGATGGAGAGGATTATTGTGTGTGGAGGGGTTGGGGGGACATACAAGTAATATAAAGTTTGCATTACAGTCAAGATGAGTAATACATATTTGACATAGAATTCTTTAATACTTTTTTCTATAAAAATAAAAAATTTGTTTGATTTTTTTCTCAGTCATTAGATGACCTTTCAAATGTATCTTCTGATGACTCAGTACAACTTCATGCCTATATTTCAGATACTGGTAAGAGACTTTGTTGTATAATTATTATTACTTTAAAACTATTGATTACTGTATCCCTAAATTATTTTCCACATTTGTTTTTATAAATCATTTTTTGTTTTGTAGTCATATTTTTAAGTTTCTTTTTTCCTGCTGTATATTCTTCATTAAATTCTGTTATGTTTATTTGCTTATGTTTTTGGATATTTACTTTCTCTAAGCTTTTGACTATTAATTAAAATACTGAGCATTTTGTCATTTCTCACATAAACTCTATAACCATTCTTTTCCTTTGTGTTTGAGTCTTGTTGATAATTGTCTGCATAATTCTTATAAAATTGTTTTTTGGGGAGACCTCAGTTCAATATTTGTTTTCATGCATGCAAAGTCCATCTAGATAACTGTGGGGCGAATGAAGCCCCTGAGTATAGAAGTTTGCAGAAATTCAAGAAATACTTGACTGGGGTGAGAAACCTCTAAGGCATTGTGATCAGTCAGTACATGTGCAGAATAAGAAAAAATAATACATTTTCATCATTACCTTTGAATTATTAGATAATGCTAATGAGTATTAAATAATGACAGTTTTCTTATCTGGCCTCTCACTATTCCTGCAATATAGGAGTGTGTTTGCCATTTTACACACTAAAGTATAAACATACTGAGGTATATACCTCAATTTAGTGCTTACATTTCAGATACTAAAGAGATTTTATAGTATAGTTTAGAAGATATTAATTTGCATCTTTTTTGAGATCTTTGTTTTCTTTTGCTTCTCACTGCAGCTGGAGTCTTAATTTGCATTCTGTTCCTGGCAGATTTCTAGAATAAGTTATCTATAATTCTGATTCTGTTATTGCTTTATCTTTTACAAATAGTTGGTGCATAGATTATTCTGCTTTAAAGGTCATTACTAAGGTCACTGTTGTCAATAAAACCAGAGGTCTTGTTGCTTTTCTTTCTAGCTTTTAATACAATTATTACATTTTTTCCCTTCCTTAAAATTTTAAAATTCTTTAAAAAATCTATTCTCTTTGTCAGCTTGTCTTCCAAATGAGAGATTCTTTGTTAAAGTGCAGACCTTTAGTATTTGTTATTTTAGCTCTTGGAGATCTTACACTTTTACATTTAGAGGAAGACACTCATGTCTGTATTTCTAATGCCGATCTTTCTCTCATCTGAGGCTTGCAATTTTCCAGCCACTTTGTCCATTTGTTCATTTATTCAACAAGTATTTATTAGCTTCTTAAAATGTATAGAAGCACTATGCTAGACATTTTTAATAAATTGTTTCTGTCAGACTTATGGGGGGAACTGAAGAGACAACACAATATAGTGGTTAAGGGTACAACTTTTTGACGGAATTGCTTGGGCCCAAACTCCAGCCCTGCCACTTGATAGTTGGATGAATTTGAGCAAGTTTCTTAACTACCTTGTACCTCAATTTCCTCATCTGTAATATGATATAATAATAACATTATTATATAGCAACTCAATAGGGTTGTTACGGGAATAACTAATTACATTAGTAATATACATGACAGGCATCATATAGGAATGTTTGTTCAATAAATATTTATTTTACCAATTGGACTCCAAAGTTTCTTTGATTCTGGGTCCCTCTATTGTTAACATTTCTGTTACAGGAAGAACAAACTTGCAGTCTAGTACAGTGCTACTCAAAGAGTGGTCTGTGGACTCTAATGTGTTTTGCTTCCTTCATTGAGAAATCTTGCATGCATGCATTCATTCATTCATTCATTTATTCATTCCGAGTCTTACTCTTTTGCCTGGGCTAGAGTGCCGTGGAGTCAGCCTAGCTCACAGCAACCTCAAATTCCTGGGCTCAAGCGATCCTTCTGCCTCAGCCTCCCAAGTAGGTGGGACTACAGGCATGTGCCACCATGCCCGGCTAATTTTTTCTATATATTTTTGGTTGTCCAGCTAATTTCTTTCTATTTTTAGTAGAGTCAGGATTTCGTTCTTGCTCAGGCTGGTCTCAAACTCCTGAGGTCAAACGATCCACCCACCTCGGCCTCCCAGAGTGCTAGGATTACAAGTATGAGCCACGGCGCCCAGCCAGAAATCTTGCTTTTAAAAAATATTGGCTAAATTAAACAATGTGATTAGCGATGAGGTTGATTTACATTCTGATGCTAGTTCTTCACCTAATTATGAATTAGTAACAAATAGTTTGCAGATCACCTGCTATGAGTAGCATTGGCCTAATGAAAACAAAGTCTTCTGGCTATATCACCCTCTTCTCAAAATCAATATATGTAACTTTGCGTTATCTTCTGTTAAATCAAATTACAGTTCTGTCTTCTGCATTTCTTTTATAATAGCCTCATTATTCCTATTGTAAATGCATTCTGGGTGATCTCCATCCTTGTCAATTTGTCACAAGTCCTGATTATTTTTTAGAATGTTTTCTAAAACATTAGAAACATTACTCTTTTCTTTCCTTTTCTGTTCCTTGCTATTCTCCTTGCTCATGTTAATTCCTAATTGGTTATGGTTAGCTGCCTAATTGGCCTCTGCTTTCTGTCTTCCTTTCCCAAACCTATCTTGGATACAACTAATAAGGCCATTACCTTGTTGCCATTCTAACTCTATGAGAAATGGTGGTTTTCTAACTTGATGAAAAAATGGTGTACTGTTTAATCTGCATAGGTCTTTGAGAGAAAGATGACTGGGTGAGGTGAACAGTGAATAATAGTGTTACCTACAATTAAAGCCTCTGTGTGGAGCAAGATGACCAGAGTCTATTTCTAGTCTTGTATTTTGCCTAATCAGAAATACTGATATTAGATAGAGAATAAAAAACACTTTCAAGAAGAAAGTGCGTATCTTAGAAAATTTTCATGAAAGCCTGAGAGAAGTTTCTGTCCAACTACTCTTGCCAACATAGATTTCTAGCTTTTATGTTTTTGAAGTAATTTATGAAGAAATTATACAAACCCTCCTTTGCCCAGTTATATACAAAATAGCAAAATATTTAGCTCCAAATTTGACCATGTTTTTATTCACAATTATGGATCAGTGTTATCCATTATTATAAAATCAATTTTAGACTTCTGGTTAGTATGGTAGTCTAAACTGCTGTTGGAAATTCTGCCTCCCACACATAGAAAGGCTGAAAACAATATTAGAAAAATAGCTGAAGGCGAATATATACAGGTGCCATAGACCATGAGGAAAAACAAATTCAGGGAAGTGAAGAGGTGTTGAAGCAAGGGGCTTATGGTAGCATAAAGACTGCTGTCTTGATTTGGATAGCGTTTTCATGCTGTAAAGTTTAGAAGAGGCAGAATGAGCCAAGGCTATGGAAAGCTGGGACCAAGTCCTTTATGCAAAGCCCAGAGTCACAAAAGGCAGCTTGATGTGAAAGAAGAACTAGGAAAACTTAGCTTACCTTCAGCAGAAAGAAAAAGAATTGCCAAGATCATGGTTAGAAATGGTATCTTTCATTCACAAGAAATTGAAAACTCAGCTTGTTCCCAACATGGGTGTGTCTGGATTTAGCTGTCCTCAAGTAATTGTATATCACAGGGTAAGCCTGAGAGTTAATATTAAAATTATTTCTGAACTGTTGAAACCAGCAGTTAAAGTGGTGACACTGCTCAGTGTGAATGCCTCCATAACCCAGAGCACTCAGAACAGTCAGGGAGAAGCAACACCTGCTGAAAATGAGCTTACAAAAAGCAATTAAAAGCCACAGGAAGAAATATGAAACACAATAAGGGAGAGTCAGCAGACTCAGAAAATGAGATAATTTGTGTCCTGGTATCTTGGAGATGGCAGTCTTTGTAGACTTTAAGATAAGTATGTTAAAACTATTCATAGAGATAAGTCCTAAGATAAAAATAAGCAGTATGAAAAAGAACCAAATAAAATTTTAGAAATCAAAAAATACAGTGATTAAAATTAAAGTGAGAGGATGGATTAAGAAATAAACCAGATGCAGATGAGAGGACACTCAATAAACTTGTGGAGACTTGAACCTGGAGTAGAATAGAGCACAGAGAGATAAAGAAATGGAAAATTATTTATTGTCCTTAGGATTCTTTCTTTAAAAAGATGGAAAATCAGAAAGAAGAAAAATTAAAGAAAATGATTCAAAGTACATCTCTTTAAGGTTAATATAAAATGGGAACAAACCTTGATTTTTAAAATTACCTTACTTGGATGATCTGTGGCAAATCAGTAGAAAATGCTTTTAAATAAAAAGGATCTCCAGAATAAACTACACTTTTAAATTGTTGAATTATTATCAAAGAAAGAGAGTTGCCAGAAGATAAACTTTATCCTATTGCTTTTGCTGTCTAATTGAAAAGATTTTAATTGAAATACAAATGAATATTGAAAGCTAGTACAAAAGGTTATTTTGTTTGTAATTGTTCCTCTTATATTTAAGACACTATAATGCTACTTTCTGAGGTGGTGCTGTGATAACATCACTAATAATAGGTAAAAGCTCTTTGAGACGAGAGAGAATCCATAGTAGACATCACTATTTGGTTGGTAGGATCATCATAAACTTTTAGTTTATTTTGTATTACAGCCATCCTATATAATACCTTGTGGTTATGAATATAGAAGATGGAAATCTATTTCATCTTTTCGTGACATCCTTTTGTGTCAGTCTGTCATTTCAGATTCTTCTTCATTTCATGTTATCTTTTTTGTTTTTGCTCTTCACCTTCCTCCTTTTTGTGTCTTTTGTTCCTCTTCATTTTGTTTTAAATGACTAGTATATGCTGACTATGACCCATATGCTGTGGCAGGCGTTTGTAATGATCATGGCAAGACATATGCATTATATGCCATCACTGTACACCGGCGCAATCTAAACAGTGAGGAGATGTGGAAGACCTATCGTCGTTATAGTGACTTTCATGACTTCCACATGAGAATCACCGAACAGGTAATGAGATTTTTAAAACTTGCATACTTTGCATTATTTCTTGATTTCGTTTTGATTCCAAATAGTTCTGAGGATACTCAGATATTGATCAAAGCTAATGAAAGAAAATAAGGCAAGCGCTTTTTATGTAATCAGCATAAATCTTAGAATGCTTTTTGAGCATTTAACCAAAATATTAAATGTTGAGAACTATAACCAGTCCTAACCATCGTGGACTAGTGACAAAACATCAATGATATACCTTGGAAAATTAAAACGAATGCATATTTCTGATTCTTAAATTTGTTTCTGTGTGTGTTGTACTTTACAAAGATATTTGGGTTTGGTTTGAAGTTGGGATGAAAATTGCTGTCAGGCATTTTGTGCCTTTGTTTTTAGAAGTATAATTCAAAACTAAGCAATAGTTATTTTAAATGGCAGCCTCATCTAACAGTAACAGTTAAATCTTTGATCCATTGCTTTGTTTTGTACCACAGTATTTACCAAATAATGTTTTTAATTCTTACTAAGTACAACCCTGTTGTTATATAGAAGTAACTGTAAGGATCCTTAAAGATAACATATGTAAAGAAATTATTTCCCTGTCCTATTTTTTTTATTAAATATTTTATCTTCCCCTTAACTTAGAAACAAGTATCACTAAATGAATTAGAATAGGTGATGTATGGTATTTATTTTATAACTCTTGAAAGTCTTTGAATTATTCATGGTTTTTAGATATACAATTGGTATTAAGCCAATAAAAATAATATTTAAAGGTAACACCAGATTGCACTATAGCTTTGAAATGACATTATACTACTTTGAAAATCAGAAAATATCTTTTTCACTTAAGATAGTGGAAAAAATATGGTTGGCACCATCCATTAAAATATTTTATGGATAGAGTGAAATAAACTATTAATAGCTTTAAAGTGATTAAATACAAAAGGTTAGTGTTGACTTCTGAAGCTCTTATTAAAAGGACTATTTTGAATTCTGTTCATAAGGAAATTAATAACCGTGGACATGTCTGTTCTTGTGTTGAATAGATCTTTTCTTCATGTTTAGCTTGATTTGTTTGTAGTGGTAAAAGAATTTTCTGCCCCACAATGAAGAAATAATTGCTTTACTTTTTCAAATATACCCTGGTTGATATTGCTTTAAAAACATATAGCTCATGTATCTCTTTCTTCCCATCCTTACACTTTAACCAAACATGATAATTTAAAAAATAATTTGGATCAATAACAGTAGTTTTATTTTCTTGGCAATTAATTGAAATTTGGTTTAATACAAAATTTTCTTTGCTCGAATAGTTGTAATTTTGTTTCTAATATTAAGAAGAATAGGCCGGGCGCAGTGGCTCAAGCCTGTAATCCTAGCACTCTGGGAGGCCGAGGCGGGCAGATTGCTCGAGGTCAGAAGTTCGAAACCAGCCTGAGCAAGAGCGAGACCCCATTTCTACTATAAATAGCAAGAAATTAATTGGCCAACTAATAGATATAGAAAAAATTAGTCGGGCATGGTGGCACATGCCTGTAGTCCCAGCTACTCGGGAGGCTGAGGCAGTAGGATCGCTTGAGCCCAGGAGTTTGAGGTTGCTGTGAGCTAGGCTGATGCCATGGCACTCACTCTAGCCTGGGCAACAAAGAGAGACTCTGTCTCAAAAAAAGAAGAAGAAGAAGAATCATTGCCTAATTTAAATATTTTGGACTAGGACTGTAAACATTATGTTCACATATTGACAAATATAATGGAAGAACATACTTTAAAAGAAAACTTTGTTATGAGGACAATTCATGCACAAATTTCCCTTTTTAGTACAGCACCAAAAATGAAATGAAATTGATGTAGCACAATTACTTTTTAAATGACTCAAGTAGGTAAAGTGGACATGTTTTGGCAGTGTTTCTTATGAAGTCACAGTGGTTGTGATTACTTAAGTGTTTAGATTGCTCACAGAGCTTGAGAAATTAAAAACTGAGCTTCTAAATGAAAATTAGGTTTTAGTAAAGTATTAAACATCTGTAAATAAAATGCTGTTTGCCTTTTAGTTCTGTCTTATCTATACTTTTAAAACTCAAATCTCTTAAATGGAAGAAAAATGCAGTGACTTGTATTTCAGCAGTTGGTAACGGTACAACCTATAGACATGATTAAATGTTAACTCATAGAGCTCTTGAAGTAAAATTGTTTTAAAACAAGTTTCATTTTGTTTATTTAATTACAATATAAAATTTTCCCAGTCTGACTGTGTGAACTGTCATTTGTTTTCTTTAAAGATTTTAATAGTCTAATTTGATATTTTATGGAGAACATTTATAAAAAATTTAAAAAATTAAAATGTTATGTGTCATGCGATTTTTGAAATGGCCTGAATTGCTCATTCATTTGTTCAACAAATGTTTATTGAGCTTTTCCTATATGCCTGGCACCCTTCTTGATGCAATATAACAGGGAACAAGGCAGACCAAATCCTTGCCTCTAGGAATTTATATTCCTGTAGCTATTGTGGATTTCTGTTTTATTGAGTGAGATCTACATAAGAATAGATAAAATACCAGTGATTTAAATGATATTAAGTATTCATTAAGGCAACTGAATAAAAGTATATACTTATAATCAATAGATTTTGAATTCTTTTAATATAAAATTTCAAGCCTGCTCTTTAAATTTTTCAGTAGTGTATTAAGAATCTACACTGGATATGTTTAATGTGGAAAGATAAGATCTTAGATTTTAGAATGTACATGATTTATATATAGTATTTATTTGTAAACATTGAAATACTGTTTTAATTTATTTGAGGTTTTTTTTTGATAAATCTCTGATTTCTTTGACATACCTTTTAAAAATGTTTTTGTCCTGAATTTTTAGCAGAGGAAATTATATTACCTTTCAGGGAATGTACTACCTTTTGCTTGTACTTGTAAATGACCTTTTAAATAGCAAGCATATTATAAATTACTATAAAATATAAAATTCCCCTGCCCCCCCCTTCTCCTACTTTTACAGTTTGAGGAAACTGTTAGTGATTTATATTTCTGTTGTGGACAGATAACTTAAAAAGGGGTTTGTGTTGATAATTTAGGTTTTGAGAAAATAACTTATTGTGATGTTTAATTTTTTTCTTATTAATAAGATTTAATATTTTAAAATTTCTAAAATAAATTGTTTTAATAGATATTGTTATATTCTGTTGGTGTGTTAGTTTGCTGGGGCTGCTGTAACAAATTACCACAGACTCAGTGGCCTAAGCAAGTTTATTTTCCTGTAGTTCTGGAAATTAGAAATTGAAGATCAGAGGGTTGGCAAGTTTGGTTTCTCATGAGGCCTCTCTTCTTGGCTTCTAAATGGCCACCTTCTTATTTTGTTCCCACATGGCCTTTTCTCTATGTGCTTGCATTTCTGGTGTCTCTTTTTACGTCCAAATTTTCTCCTATAAAAACACAAGTCAGATTAGAATAGGCCCCACCCTAAGAGAGACTCATTTTAACTTAATCACCTCCTTAAAGCCCCATTCTCCAAATATAGTCACAATTGGAGGTACTTAGAAGGTAAGTCTTCAACATATGAATTTTGGGGGAATACAGTTCAGTCCCATAATACTTGTAATACCAGAATAATTTATGCATTCTCATAAATTGAGACAGTAAACGTGGATAAGTAATATTACAGGAAATTAAGTATTTGGGGGGACTACCTCAAAAAAGTAAATTTACTTCCATTAAGTATGATTTTTTAAAAAAGAATTTAATTCATAAAACCAGGTGTTCTCTATTGGACATGTGATATTCAACGAGGACCCATTTCTATAATAATACTTTTGTGAATCACCAAATCTGTATATATCACCATAGTATACATTTTCTCTATGAATTGCCCCTATCCTTTTTTCTTTTCTTGCCATGACTGGAACAGAAGACCTGCTTTTACTTTTCATATATAACATATAATGAACGTGTTCACATTTTAGCTCCAACCAACCATCAGATTTGTCATTTCATTTAATAATTTATCAGAATCTCCTGTTTGGGGATGGAAAATATCTTAATCCTCTTCATTTCCTCTTCTCTTTCATCTCTGCACTGGGAATTAGTTTTCTTTACAAAGATGATGATGATGTTATTGTTGTTTTAAACAAAGAATGATTTTAAAAAGTTTATTACACTTTAGGATATGTATCACATGGGAAAAACAATGAGACTGCTTGAAATTTCAGGTACTAGGCTGTTGGCGAGGTATAGTCACTAAATGACTTTGCTCTTATACTATTTTAGCAGCTATTATAGTTAAAAATCTGTTTTAGTGTGGCATTATAGATTACTATGAACCGTTTATAGATTATCATGAACCGTTAAAGATGCACCCAAATGTTAAGTATGTAAATGCTAGACTTATAGTAATATATATTTACTTTGTGTTTGTAGCTTTACAAGATAAAATATATGCTGATAGCTCTTAATTTTTTTGTTGTTAATCTATGAATTTATTTTTAATGTAGTTGATGAGTAAGAGGTATCTGTTTATTATAATTTTATATATACAAAGTTGTAATATAGCTGTCTATAATTTGAAGTTTGCCTTTTCTACTTTTAATAATCGTCTATTGCAATGATTCATTGATTGAAGTCATTAATATTAAAAAATATTTGATATTTTAATAAGCTAGAAACTCATAACTTTGATCACTAAAAGTTTAATTTGCCAATACTTTATTCAGAAGTCAGTGGGTTATTAAGGAAAGTATTTCTTAAAATCTTTTATTATGGAAATTTTGAACAATCTCAGAATTAGAATATTAAAATGAAACCCCACATGGCCAATACCTGTCTATATCAATTATCCAAATTTGTTATTTTTAATTGAAAATACTTTTTATAATAAATAACATTAGAATTGTATTTTGGGCATATTTGGACAGTATTTTGATTTTTTAATTTTTATTAATAAAATATATTACAAAATTATCTGTTGAAGATGTTTTTGATATGTAAAGAAATTATCACTTAGGATATTCTTTTGTCTTTATATTAAAAACTAAGATGTACTCTTGACTGTATTTTATCTTATAGTTTGAAAATCTATCAAGTATATTGAAACTTCCTGGAAAAAAGACTTTTAATAATATGGATAGAGATTTTTTAGAAAAAAGGAAAAAGGATCTAAATGCGTATTTGCAGGTAAGTCCATGTTTATTATTGTGCATCAATTTTCATTTAATGTAGCACACAGATATAACAGATCTCTTTATTAAAGAATGTTTTTACTTTAGTAATGGGATAACAACCACTTTTGAGCAGCTTGTCAAATGTGATATGCAGTCTGCTCAGTAATTTATAAACACTATTTTTGTGTTTATTGATTAACTTCGTTTTCTAGGCAGTGTTAGGAATTCTGCTCATTCATGTTTAGATGACTGTGCACACACAGCAATTCCATATTACTGTAAAGTCTCAGGATTTTATGGTAGACTAAATAGTTCAATATTTCCAATTCAGTAGAAAATGCCTCTTCATAGTATATCAAAGGCTAGCAGATTTTATTCCCAGAGAAATGCATATAGCTGCCTCCCATGGGCCATAATGATTCAAAGGCTTCTAAAATTATAGAGTAATTTAAGAGAGGGATAGATCTGAGGAAGTGTTATGTGTCCTGGGTATATAGTTTTCTTTTGTGGAATAATAAAACATGTCTTACAAATTACTTATTGCATGAACAAGACTCCCAGAAATAACTTTGTTTTAAACCTGAGTGCTCAGATGCCAGATATAATAATAATATCACTTTATAGTTTTTTATACTAATTCGTGGTTTATACTAGAGAAAGCATCAGCTCAGATTTATAGTGTTCCCTTATTTAGTTCCCCAGCCTCTACAACAGGGGTTAGCGAACCTATAGCCTTCAGACTTCATCTAGCCTACTACCTGTTTTTATCAAGAGTTAGAATGGAGCATAGCCACCCTTTCATTTATGATTGTGGCTGCTTTTGCAGCTGAGATTCTATGGACCACAAAACTTAAAATAATTTCTATCTGGCCCTTGATGGAAATTGTTTGTTGACTCACATTAGAATTTGGTAAAACTTAGCTAATAAATATACTGGATATTTTGTTTAGAAGGTTTTCTTTCTCTCTCTTAAATATTTATATCTGTGATTGGGTTTGTTTATAACTATAATTGTAATTCCATGTGATTATTATGTACTAAAAGTATAGCAAAAATACGAATCTCTGCTGTAATTCACTTTTGTCTTTTCCTGGCTTAAAGCTGAATGATATCATTGATGTTGAGACCATTATCAAACATTTTGATTTTTTTTTAAAGTACCAACTTCAGTTCCGGTAGTATCTATATTATTTATTTATACAATTTTTGAAAATAACCACCATTTCCAAATCTGGTGTTATAAATGTATCTGGTGTGGCTGTGTTGTAGACTTCTTAGCTAAAGAACGCAATTATGTCAGACTTGTTCCATTGATGGAATTGAGCTAGAACATTAAGTTATTATTAGCAGTTGTGAAAACAGTATTTTGTTTGGGACTTCTTTATAACACTTGAAAGTTTTTATTTTGATTATTCTGTTCATTTTATTTCATAAAATTCTTTTTCTATGTAATGTTAACTCTAGAATTATGCAAATAACATAACAATTTTCTAATGTGAATCTTCTTAGTGTAAGCTATAAGGTCTTGAAAATAGAATAGTAAATATATTTGAACAACTTTCAGTTAGATGCACTGAAAGTCAAAATAGCAGCCAGGAAGAATATACACCAAACTGTTAATCATAAAATTATTGGTGACTTTATTTTAACTGTATATTTGGGTTTTTTAAGTATAAAATTAAAATTCTTTACTTTTTATGAGCTAAAATTGTAAACAAAGTTAATTTCCAGGATCCTGTTGGTTAAAGATGTCTCTTTTTTTTAAATTTTTCTGTTAGTTATTATTAACTCCTGAAATGATGAAAGCATCCCCAGCTTTGGCTCACTGTGTATATGATTTCCTTGAGAACAAAGCCTACAGTAAAGGGAAAGGGGATTTTGCTCGCAAGGTAAGCAGCATTGGGTTTTCACACCTTGTTTTTAATAAAAGAAAATAAATTTAGATTTTTATGTGTGTTTTAGATTTAGGGAGTACAAATGGTTTTTTGTTATATGGGTGAATTGTTTATGGGTGAAGTCTGGGCTTATAGTATATCTGTCACCCAAATAGTACTCAATAGGTAATTTTTCATCCCTCACTCTCCTTCACTTTCTCCCTTTTCTGAGTCTCCGGTATCCATTATAGCACTCTGTATGAGCATACATACCATTGCTTAGCTCCCATTTACAAGTAAGAGCGTATGGTGTATGATTTTCCATTCCTGAGATACTTTTCTTAGGCTAATGGCCTTCAATTCCATCCAAGTTGCTGCCAAAGACATTCTTTCATTCTTTTTTGTGGCTGAGTAGTATTCCATGGTGTGTGGGTGTGGGTGTGTAGTGCATTTTCTTTTCAGCTTTTCTTCATTCAGTATGATGGTGACTATGGGTTTGTCATATATGGCTTTTATAATTTTGAGGTATGTTCCTTCTATGCCTAATTTGTTGAGGGGTTTTATCATGAAGGGGTCCTGGATTTTATTAAATGCTTTTTCTGTATCTATTAATATGATTATATGGTTTTTGTTTTTAATTCTGTTTATGTGGTGAATCACATTTATTGATTTGCATATGTTGAACCATTCTTGCATTCCTGAGGTGAAACCTACTTGATCATGGTGATTTATCTTTCTGATGTGCTTTTGGGTTTGGTTTGCTAGTGTTTTGTTAAGGATTTTAGTTCATCACGGAAATTGTTCTGTAGTTTACTTTTTTTGTTGTGTCCTTTCCTGGCTTTGTTATCAGGGTGATAAGGGCTTCGTAGAATGAGTTAGGGAAGTATTCCCTTGTTCCCGATCTTTTAGAATGTTTCAGTAGGATCGGTACCATTTCTTTGTAGGTCTGGTAGAATTTGTCTATGAATCTATCTGGTCCTAGGCTTTTATTTTTTTGGTGGTAGACTTTTTATTACTGATTTCAATCTTGCTACCCATTATTGGTCAGTTCAGGATTTCTATTTCTTCCTGATTCAAACTTGGGAGATTGTATGTTTCCAAAAATTTATCCATTTCTTCTAGATTTCTAGTTTGTGTGTATAGAGATATTAATAGCAGTCTCAGGTTATCTTTTGTATTTCTGTGGGATTAGTTGTAATGTCTCCTTTTTCATTTCTGATTGAGTTTATTTTAATCCTCTCTCTTTTGATTAATCTTCACTGGTGGTCTATCAGTTTAGTTTATCATTTCAAAGAACGAATTTTTCATTTCATTGATCCTTTGCATTGTTTTATTGGATTCAGTTTTATTTAGTTCTGCTCTGATATTTGTTATTTCTTGTCTTTTCTTAGCTGTGGGTTTAGTTTGTTCTTGTTTTTCTAGTTCCTTGAGGTGTGACATTAGGTTGTTAATTTGTGATCTTTCTTTTTGATGTAGGCAGTTAGTGCTAGAAACTTCCATTTTAGCACTGCTTTTACCTGTATCCCACAGGTTTTGGTAGTTTGTGTCACCATTATCATTGAATTAGGAAATTTTTTGATTTCCATCTTGATTTCATCATTGACCAAAAGATCATTCTGCAGCAGATTATTTAATTTCCACATATTTGTATAGTTTTGAGAGTTCCACATATTTGTATAGTTTTGAGAGTTCCTCTTGAGATTGATTTCCAGTTTTATTCCATTGTGGTCTGAGAAGATACATAGTATTATATGATTTTGACTTTTTAAAATTTGTTAAGTAAGAATTGTTTTATAGCCTAATATATGGTCTGTCTTGGAAAATGTCCCATGCACTGATGAGAAGAATGTATATTCTTCAGTTCTGTGTACAGTGTTCTGTAAATGTCTTCTAGGTCCCTTTTAAGTCCAGGGTTTCTTTGTTGATTTTCTGCCTCAGTGATCTGTCTGGTTCTGTCAGTAGAGTGTTGAATCCCCCTGCTATTACTGTGTTGCTGTTTATTTCTTTTTGTAGGTCTAGTGTTTGTTTTATGTATCTGGGAGCTTCAGTGTTAGGTGCATATTATTTAGGATTGTTGTATCTTCTTATTGAATTGATCCTTTTATCATTATATAATGACTATTTTTGTCTTTATTTAAAGTCAATTTTGCTTGATATATGAATAGCTACTCCTGCTTGCATTTGGTTTCCATTTGCATGAAATATGTTTTTTCTATCCCTTTACCTTGAATCTGAGAATCTTTTCAAGTTACATGGGTTTCTTGGAGACAACAGATATTTGAGTTGTTTTTTAATCCATTCCATCAATCTAGATATTTCAAGTAAGTCATACAGACCATTTATATTCAATGTTAATATTGATATGTGAAATATTGTTCCAGTCATCATGCTGATTATTACCTAGTTGCTTTGTATTCTTCCTTGTTTTATCAGAACTATTAGTTTTTACTTTCTAGTGTTTTTATACTGGTGAGTATTGACCATTTGTTTCAATGTTTAGAACTTCTTTGAGCATTTCTCATAGTCTAGTGGAGACAAATTCTCTTAGCATTTGCTGTTTTGGGAAAGACTTTATTTCATCTTAATTTATGAAATTTAGTTTTGCAGGATACAGAATTCTTGACTGACAATTATTCTGTTTAATAATTTTTCCATGGATGGGGGGCAGTGGGTGGGGTGGAGGTGTTGGTGGGGTGGTTAGGGATGATTCAAGCAGATAAGCACATTACATTTATTCTGCACTTTATTTCTATTATTATTACATTGTATTATATAATGAAGTAATTATACAACTCACCATAATGCAGAATCAGTGGGATACCTGAGCTCTGATCAGGCAGTGATGTGGATGATGGGGAGCAGCTGTAAATACAGATACAACTTCACTCACTCGCCTGCTGCTCACCTGTTGTTCAGCCCAGTTCCTAACAGGCCATAGACCGTACTGGTCCACGGCCTGGGGCTTAGGGTAGGCAGCTCTAGGATATTGGATTTCAATATCCTAATAGATGTTAACATTTCTAAATTGAATGTTCGTTTTGACAGGTTCCAGGGTAATGACCTTATAGTGGTGGGGAAAAAAATATGGTGCTTATCTGTGTAGTTTGTAATTGAAGTGATTGAGTTTGAATTCCAACTTTAAATAGTTTTGTCAGTAGAGATGCATTTCAGTCTTCAATCTTTTTGATGTTTATCTGTCTTATTTCCTCTGTCTTAAGATTGTATCAGTTTTCGGATAAAGCAATTGGGATAACAGCTTTTTGAGATAGAGACATTATATTAAATGTATACAACTTTTTATTTCCTTATTTTTTTTTTTTTTACCAACCAACAGTAAGGCATATGTATGCTCAAACAGACAGCACTTTTTAAAAAAATTATCAATGGAGTCTAAAGATTCTTCTGAATCATTTCTGGCAATCTGCAATAACATCTGATTTTCTTAAGTCATGTCAGCTGTCACGAAGGTCATCTTGACCTCTTTTGGATTGTCATAATTTGTATGCATATCAAGAATTTGGGGTTTTCAACTACGTTTCCATTTTGGCTAAATTATAGTTTACTTTTTCCTTAATTATATTATACTAGAAATTAAATAGCTATTAGAGAAAATCATCAGTAAACATTTTATCAGTGGCTATTTAGAGCTTAAGAAATAATACTGTACAACACATTAATTTGATCACTCAGTTTACCCTAGCTTTGCAAAATCTGTGGAACAATTCCTAGAAAGAGTAACTGATAAGCAGCTTTTTTCTTTGCACACAGTATGTTTCTATCCAGTTTTGTATGATGATGTGAAGGCATTTTAAACTATAGTTAGAGATCAACATTTAAGCTAGAATTCCATTGTGCATGTTGTTACCAATACAAATAACTCGGCTGGGGTGGTAATTGAATGAATAAACAGTATCTGTGTAAGTCAGCCAAAGTGTATACTGGTGCAAGCAATCCATAATTTACTCCTGTGCCTGGTAATTTAAAAGTTTTTTTCTTTCTTTCTGAAAATCTATTTTAAGACAAATTCTGTTTTCAGAAATGGTACCATACACTGATGGAGACCCTGCCTTTATGTTTATAAAATTCTACTTCTTTCGGAGTTAGGCATCTAGAGTCACCTGTGGTGGTTTTTCTATCTTCTTTTCATGCCTGTTCCCTTCTAATATAGATACCTGGGGTTTACCCTCAGAAATTAGAAAAAACAAAATTGATTCTATTTCTTATGAACAGTTAGGATGGAGGGAAAGGAAGAAAATAAAAAAGAGGAAAAAAATAAAAAAGGAAAAAAATTGATTCTGTAGGTCTGGGATGGTACACAGACAACTATTTTTAATTATAAAGTAATTCATTATATAGATATAAGATCTCTTATCTTAAAAGACTATCAGTGGTAGTTAGCCCCATGCCTAGATAGCATGTGAGGTGTAGTATTCATTTAACCAACTCAAGTCATATTAGCTGAATATATTAGCTGAATAGCTTCTGCTGTGAAGTGTAAGATATATAAAAACCTAAAATATTCACGAAGATATTCAAGCAACTTTTAACTCAGGTTGTAGATTAAGTGAAATTCATGCCTTTTATGTGTCTCAAATTCTGTGTCTTCTGTGAAAATTGTAACTTGTTAGAGTGGTGTTAATTTTCCCTCAAGCTGCATATTTTAAATGTTATCATGCTTATCTCTTTAGAATTCTATATGTGTTGTGTTCTCATGACTTAGCTTATCTATAATGTTATTACAGT